TGGGGAAAATACATTGGAGAAGACTGGGAAGAAACAGCAATGACAGTAGCGATGGTGAGGGACATATTTAGGAGATATTTATAAGGCAAAATTTGACTGAACGTGAGGAGGCGAGAAGGAGAAATCAAGGATAAACCCACTAAAAAGAGAATCAAGTTTTAGCTTTGTCTTCTGTGGGGGAGACAGAGAGAGATGGAAGATCAAATTCAGTTTTGGACAGTTTAATTTGAGAAGACTTTGAGACATCTGGATAGAGCCATTCCATTAGCAGTCAAAGCAAGGATGGAGACAGAGTTGGGAGCTATTAGCATAACTACAATAACCAAAATCATGGGAGAGACTAATGTTGACCACAGACAAATAAGCCAACCAAACTTGAAAAGGCCAAGGATCAAACAACAATATAAAAGGGTTAGGCAGAGTATTAAAAGCTCACAGAGAAGTGGCAGTCTAAGATGTAGGAGAAAAACCCAAAAATTATGGCTTACGCCAGACGGTTGATATTTTCTTTTTTTCTGCTACTTCTTACTACCTTTAACAAAAAAAGGGGGGGAGGGGTTAAGGAATCTAAATGAGTGGCCTAACTCCCATCCATGTATTTTTTCATATATATACACAGACAAAGTTTAATGGCTTTCTAATCTATCTCAAAGTCATTAACGAGTCACATAATTCAATACAACTGAATTATTAGTGTCTATAAACAATGATTTTCTTTCCCAAGCCATTTTTAAAGTGGCCACCCTCATTACTACTGTAAACCATCTGTAAGTATTTAACTTTGCCAGGCTACCAAAATATCTCCCTCTCCTTGAGAAGTCCAACCCAGACTAAATGAATAACTGAGGAGACAACTGCTCTAAAAATGCACTGACATGTAGCTCTAATACAGACTTCAGAGTATTTGTTTCTTCTGGGTTAAAACAAATAGATTTATCCTCCATACAATAACATAGAGAAATAAAATACAGCATTGACCTATGCAACCTATCCAAGGTTATTCATATCTGCTATAAGATCAGCTGTAAATTTTATTTGAAATTATTTCAAAGCTATAAAATATCTTACCTCCACCTTTTCAAAGAGATCCATTAACCTCAAAAATCCTAATTTTGCATCATTAGAATTTATTTTACTCTCTTAGGGGGCATTTTAGTTTACAGAAGTAAAGGAGATAATTTTTACATGAGCAGCTGAAGATTCCAAATCACTGGAATTTTTAATTGACATGGAATAGACTAATTCAGTTAAACAGTTCTAAGGAACTGCCGGAATTTATTATTCATTCTTAAAGATTTAATTAGTTGAAACAAAACTGTTTAAATAGGCCTTTAAAAAAAAGTATTTATAGCCCACAACAGAGATCTTTCTCATCCTAGGGGATTTTTAACATTTCAAATAATTTTTCTTTCAAAATGTTACATGTTTTTATCTAGTAGAGAAATATTAAGTACATATTTCCCATTAAAAGCAAAAACTCTATCACAAATACTGAAAAACTTTCAAGTTGCTAATTATAACTATATTTTGTCGATTTAAACCTTGATCCTTTACTTACCTAAGTAACTGCTTATCTCAAGCTAATCCTAAGCTTTGAGTTTACCAAAATGAAGAATGATAAATATATCTGCTGTTCTTAAACTCTGAGAGAAGCAAAATACTGGGGAAAATATTCACTATATTTTTTGAAGTAAAATTTCAGCCAGTGTATACATAAACAGTATTGAGAAAGTAAGCACCTTTATTTTTTTTCTGTAGCTTCATACTATGTATTTATAAAACACTGACAGAAAAAATAGTCTAGAGACTTGTGAAAGTGGTTCTAGTTTCTTCTTACATTAGTTTCAACTGTGAAATTAGTGAATATATATTTCAAGTAACTTCATTTAAGTATTTTAGCACACTCTGACAAGCATGACCATTTCTAAAGAATATTAAGAATTTCCAAAATAAAGAGAGAGTGGGTATCTGAGAAAATATTTTGGAAAAAAAAAAACTTCACCTCCCCCAAATCAGTAATTCCAACATATTCCTAATCAGAATGATCTCAAAGTGTTTCCTAGGAAATTTGATAACTCAACTTTTCCTAGGAAATTTGACAACTCAAGAGTTTTGAGGTTCAAAAACTGTATTGAAAAATGCTAGAAAACCATTTGTACATAAATTGTCATTTCTGAATCAGGATCCTCAGTTTTCTCTTCTGCAAAATGAAGCGAACAAGAAAATGATCTATCTCTACAATGTCTTCCAGTACTGATTCTTGTGGCCAAGTTGTATGATTTTCTTTCATAAATAATAAATAAAGCACAAAAAGTATGTGTTTTTAAACTGTGAGACTTTTAGGTTTTGGGTTTTTTGTTTTTTTTTTTTTCAGTTTGTTAACAACCTTGAAGATACTTCACATAAACAAGCCAGGCATTTTATATCTGAGTAAAACATAAGTTAATAGCTTCTGCACAAAACAGTATACATGATAAAATCTCTGATTTAAAGTGAAATAATTTTTTCCAACTTCAATTTTTGCTAGTTTTACTTCAAATCTAAACTTCCTCAATTAGATGGCCATTTTATAATCTGAATACTTTTCTAGTTTATACATGTATTGAAAATTTTGCTTCCTTTCCATGTGGCAAAACACACATCTACCTACCATCATCTTTATACAGATTTTTAAAAAACCTTGAATGGTACATATTCAAAGTTGTTCTAAACTAATGACTTTTTTTTTTTGAAATGGACTTTCTCTAATGTTTAAATGCGTATTTCTTTAATTCTGCAATTGCATTTGTAAAGGTAAAATTGTCGAAATAGTCTGATGCTGAGATAAATCTTTCCACTTAAGTAAACAATTCCATTTTATTTTAAGCAAGAAGTCTTAAGTGTAAGTGTCTATATAGTATTAAAAATGAGATTTCATAAACTCTATTCTACAATTGTTTACAAACACTAGGAAGAAATACTCCTAAGATGTTTTTACATGCCATTTTACATTTCCCAAAAAGGAGTATTACTTTGGTAACCAGACGGTATTTCAAAATTGAAATTTCAATAGTGTGTAAAGTATGGGACACACCAACACAGTCCACTTTTACAACAGGTATGTTCAGTGCTTTTTCCTGTTGACAAGCTTCTGTTTTAACAGGAAGAATGATTTGATCGGGTGTCTGTTAGGTTGGAAAAAGACAAAACCTTTACTTTCCAGGTCCTTCTCTTAATCTAAGATTTTAAAAAAATCCAAGAAGTGATCTTAACTGCAGTGATCTTGCAGTAGTAAACTTTTTGATGGGGACAGAGTAACACCTTTCATTACAACTATCAGCAGAAAGGCAAAAGGCTCCAGAGGTTTACCAGTGTTCTCAGAAACTTGTTAGTATTCTCCTCTGTCATTATTTCAGAACAATTCCATTTAGAAAGAAACGCAATTGTAAACTGCTTCTATTTCAGGCCCATAAAAACTGGGATGAAAGGCAAAGCCTTGACCTTTCTATTTTAGACTTTCATCTGTGTAGCTAAGCCATCTGCTTTCTCTCTACCCCATCTACTTAATGGACTGAAAATACTGCACCTAATTGCAATTTTATCAAACCAGCCAGAGTTTTCCACTTTAACGAATTACGGCTCTGTCTTTCACCTGAAGGCTCGCAGGTAAAATTTTCCTTACCCGTCCCTCCCCATTTCCTTCCCACCTCCCCCAATTATGAGTTATCAAGTATCATTAAACTACAATACGAAGCTTCCGTGTATTAAGCCATCTACACTTTCAACACCGAGCGCCCAACAGAAGAAAATCGACTCCAGTCTCCCCTCCTGTGGATCTGGGGCCGGGATTATCATCTTTGTTGCGGTTACGCAGGAAGCACCTAGCAAGCAGCTCCTGCCTAGAAGAGTCCGCGTCTCTCCGCCGCCAAACAACAGGGAGGGGGACTCGCGCCGGGAAAAAGACAGACCCGGGTGGGAGGAAAACCTCCAGGAGGAAGGAAAGGGCCGGGAAGAGGCAGCTCTCAAGACTAGAAGGAAGGACCTTCCCAGGCACCAAGCAGAAAAGGTGTGAGAAGTGGAGAAAGAAGTGGGCGGCCGGGGAGAAGCGGGAAGCCGGGGGCTGGGGGGGGATGAGGAGCGGAAAAGCGAGCAGTTCGAGCGGCAGAGGGAGCCGCGTCGAGGCCGGCGCGGCGGGGACGGCGGGCCACCCCCCGGCCGAGCCCCGCTACTTAACTATTTGTAGAGCTGCTGCAGGCACAGGTCCAGGCTCTCGCCCTCCACCTCCTCGCGGGTGATGCGCTCCGACAGTGGCCGCGGCAGCGGGGGCAGCGGCGGCAGCCGGGTCTGCGGCGGCGGCACGGCCGACTGCCCCCGGGCCGCCGCCTCCTCGCCCGCCGCCGCCGCCGCCTCCTCCTCCACCGCCTCCTCCTCGGGCTCGGGGTCTTCTCGCTCCTGCTCGTGCCCCCCCTCCTCCGACGCGGCCCCCGCGGCCGCCGCCTCCCCGGCTTCCTCGACCGACGCCTCGCGCGCCTCAGCTGCCACCAGTTCGGGCTCGGGCTCGGGCTCCGACTCTTCGGGTTCGGGTTCCGGCTGGGGCTCGCCGCCGCCGCACGGTCCGCGAAACTCGCCCAGGAATAGCTCCAGGAAGCGCCGGTAAGTTTTCTCCTCAGGGCTGCAGCCGGCCATCGCTGCTCATGCCCCAGGGCCGACCGGGGAAACGGGTGGGGGAGGCCCGCGAAGGGGAGGGGGGCTGCTGGCGAGCCTCCGGCTCCCGCAAGGGCGGTTAACGGCCGCGCCGGCACGAGCGATCAGCACTAGGTTGCCTGGAGAGGGCTCCCGCAGGCGTGCGCGCCGCCGAGCCCGGACGTGCGCGGTCCGGGGCCGGGGGGCGGAGCGCGCCGCCCCTCGCGGGTCTGGAGGGAAAGTTGGTCTCGGGCGCGCGCGCGGGGTCCGGCGGAGGCCCACCCTCTAGCCCTACGGAGAGCTGAGCCCGAGCTGCCTAGAGACCGTCGCCATGGCAACCGGCCTCTAAGGAGGAATTTCAGGGTCCCTCCCGTCGAGTCCACAGAGTCGAAAGGGACACTCGACTAGGTCCCCTCTCCAACTCTGAATGCCTTCATTGTGTGGATACCCTAACCTCAAAGTGGTTAAGAGGGAACTAAGACGTTCGCCCGGTCTAGGTGTTGGTCTCCCCTTGATTTGGATTCACCTCAGTTTTCCTTATCTGTCCTGTCGTGTCTTAGGGTCTGTATGTGCGGAAAGATACCACAGTGTGAACACCTCCTGTTGTCGATGACAGTAATTTAATAAGTAGTTTGCAGGGGAAGGCATTCAACATCTACAAAGGTAGGTTCCTTTGCCTTCATTCTCTCATCTGATTCTGTGAAGTGGTGTTATCCTCACTTTCCAAAAAGAGGAAGCAGGATTAAGTACATTTCTTTTCTCAAGGTGTGGAAGCTCCTAGTCGTGGCATTGGAATTGGAACCTAGATTGTCAGCTTCTAAAGCCTTTCTAGACCCTTTTTCCTGTACTCTTCTCTGACTTGGAAGACTCAACAGTGTCTATCAAGCCTTATTTTTAAAAAGCTTTATAGTTTGTGCGTTATAGTCATCCCCTTAATCCTTGTAATAGCGCCTCAAGGTAGAAGGTATTACCATGATTCCATCCCATGGATGAGAAAACTGAGATTTCAAGATATTGCGATGCAACAAGGACTAAAAACAGCTCTTTTTACTGTAAAGCCATCAGTTTTCCAGCACATCAGGACACTCTTCTTGAGTGTCTGCAGGCAACCCACTCCAGTATTCTTGCCTGGGAAACCCCATGGACAGAAGACAGAAGAACCTGGGGGGCTACAGTCCATGAAGTCACAAAAGAGTCCGACATGACTTAGTGACTCAACAACAAATATATACTTTATTACATAATCTGTATTTTTTGGTACATTTTGTTTGCTCTTCTTCCCCATCCCCCTGAGTCTCTATTTTTGTAGACTAAAAGTGAAACAACTTTAAATTATTCTAATTTTCTTACCAAACTACACACAAACCTATTATTTTCAAGGCTTGCTGAGGGGAGTGGGAGACGGAGAAGCGGTGTCGTTACGCAGCTGTATAGATGACAGCATCATTACTGCATACTGCCATGGCCATGGCAGCATATAATTCAGCAGAAATACAGTGATTCTTTCTCCACTTTGAAAAACGTGTTCACAAAACATCCACCCCATCCTCTCCATTTATTCCTTCTGGGTTTCAGTTGGATTTAGGGTCTGAAATAACATTTCTAGTCAGTTATTAATGGCAGAAGGAGTCTCCCTGCCAACTGTTTTCATATAATACTGTATTCTAAATCCCTGATGTGATACTGTTATTTTAAGAATAAGTGGGTTGAGCTCACTAATGTACATTATGGCATCATGTAAAATAGACGTCCATTCTCTTTCTTAGCTTGAAATTAAATAATACATGATAGAAAGTGTATACTGAGTAATGCATGAGTCCTCTGTAACTGCTTATTTTTGTCTCAAAGGTAAATGGTAAGACCCAATAAATAAGTCTGTTTCCAGACAAGCTAACTGTATTTATACATGTTTTGTTTAAAATATCACCAGTGTAGAGCAACTTCTTTATGCAATGCCAAGAGAGTCTTTAAACTCTTCATTTGCCTTTGTTTTCAATCCACCTGTTCATTTCCATTTCAGAATGTCTAGAAAAGACTGACATAACTTTTAAGGGTACAAAACCTAAATGTCCACAATTTTACATTCCAACAACTATTTAATATCTCAGAATTTGACACAGTGACATTTAGTTCAAGAGCACAAAGCTGTCAGCTGTTAACAATTCACATCAAGCTACACCTTCCCACTTTGTAATATAGTTGCCTCCCTCGTCTAGGTGACATTTATTTGTGACGTTAATTTATGACTCAACCCACATATCAAAGGGAAGTGTTATGTGTTGGGGAAACATTACTACTAAGAGTAAAAGAAAAAGCCTACACCTCTACATTACTATAAATGAGAGGTGTGTTTGCTTATATTAATGAAGATATTTCTTTACAAAAGATCAATATGGATCCTGCTGCATCCATTTGACAGAGGAGCTTCGCCAGAAGGTTGCTGACAGCAGTGCTGGGATCTCAGAGCAGCTGTGTAGGATGATTCTGCCATTGTCGAGAAGTCTTTTTAGTCATTATTTTGCATTGCTTTACTTTCCTTTTCAGTTCCTCTCCTCTTATACTTCCCTAATCCCCTTTCTTGTTGTCCATTTTAAAATAGAGCTATAAAAAGCATATGTATTAAGAGCATTTAATTTTTTAAAGTTTTTTTTTAGATTTGTCATAAGAATTGTTCTCTCTCTAACCCTTAGCTCTTTGGAGGAAATGCACATGTTCTTTCAAGGACATTCATGATTAAGGATGATATTTCAAGATTAAAAAGGGGAATTCCCCTTGTGGTCTAGTGGTTAGGATTTGGTGCTTTCACGGCCGAGGGCCCAGGTTCAATCCTCAGTTGGGGAACTAAGATCCCACAAGCCATGAGGTACAGCCAAAATCATAAAAAAAATCTTAAAAAAAAGGGGGGTTAAATAAAAGTGTTGAGTTGGGCAGTTTCTTATATGACCCAGTAATCCATCTCCCAGATATTTACCCACAAGAAATGAAAACGTGTCCACCAAACACACAGACACACATCACCAAAAAAACCCCTTGTATATAAATTTTTTTACAGTAGTTTTATTCATAACAGCTCAAACTTGGACATAACCCAGGTGTACATCAATAGTGAATGGATAAACAAATTTTGGTATATTCATACAATAGAATACTACTCATCAATTAAAAAAAAACTACTGATAAACACAACAACATGGGTGAATCTCAAAAACATGATGAACGAAAAAACTCTAGGCACAAAAGAGAACATACCTCATGATTCCATTTACATGAAATTCTAGAATAGGCAAAACTAATCTATAGTCACAGAAAGCAGATTAGTGGTTGTCTAGGACTGACGTGGAGTGGAGGATTCATGGAAAAGGAGTAAGTGGAACTTTGTGGGAGGGATTAGAATGTTCTATATCTTGACTGGGTGTTTTATATAGGTGTATTCATTTGTCAAAAATGATCCAAGTGTACATTTTAAATAAGTGTATTGTTACGTAAATTATACCTCAATAAGGTTTATTTTAAAAGTTAAAAAGAATTGATTACTGCTTGGTCTTTTTTTTGTTCTCACATCCATTTCTTCCCCTACTTTGCTCTCCTTGGTATTACAGGAGTGCTGACTCTTTCAAGCTGCATTCACCAGGTTCCTGGATAGCTGAGTTCCAGCTGCGATTTGCCCAGGGGGAGACATCAGCAGGAAACTAGAAGGTGGAAGGAAAGGCAAAAAGTCAAGATATTTCTTCCCTGTCCCCTACCTCAGTCCTAATGCTTGCTGCTTCTCCTTTATAGCCTTGTTCCCCCTGAACCTGTCCACTGGGATTCCAGCTTTTTTCTTTGACACCAGTCCCAGAGCTCCAGAAACATCATCTTCCATGTGTCCATCAACCTAGAGATTGTGGCTGGCTTTAGCTGCCTAATCTTGCCTGCTATGGATGGATTATTTGTGTGCTCCAAAAATTCATATGTTTAAATCCTAACCCCCAAGGTGAAGGTATTAATTAGGAGGTGGGGGTCTTTGGAAGGTAATTAGGTTATGAGGGCACAGCCCTCATGAATGGGATTAGTGCCATTAAAGATGAGGTGCAAGAGAGACGCCTCTCCCTTTCTAAATGCGAAAACACAGGAAGAAGACCACTGTCTGTCCCAGACACTGAATCTGCCAGCACCCTGATCACTGAACTCCAGCCTCCAGAACTGTGAGAAATAAACTTCTGCTGCTTGTAAGCCACCCCACTTATGATTTTGTCATTATAGCAGCCCAGTCAGACTAAGATACTGCTGTACCTTCCCTTTTGGCTTTTTAGCGCTCCTATCATGTGTGTAACTGATTTCCTGTATTCTATTCCCTCTGTTTTCTTAACTGGATCTCAATTAATACAATAACAAATAATACTTTAAAGAGTGATAAAAATATATAAGACCACTATAAATGGATTAAGCTGTCATTAAGGCAAGTCTAGGTTTTCAAAGGTGCTACTTGAACAGTGAGTTTACTTGAAGATAGCAGTAAATGATTTCCTATTATGCATATGTTGACTTTTAAGAAATACATGTTATTTTTAAAACCTTAAAAAAAATTATGAACAGGCTGCCAGTGGTTCAAAGGTAGGGAGGGGAAAGATGAATTGATAAAACAGGATTTTTAGGGAAGCAAAGACTATTCTGTATGATACTATAATGGTGGATACAAATCATTAGACATTTGTCAAAAACCACAGGACATAAAACACAAAGTGAACCCAAGTGTAAACTATGTACTTTGGTTAATAATAAAATATCAATATGGGCTCATCAGTTGTAACAAACATACCTCACTCATGTAAAATGTTAATAATAATGGGGAAACTGTGAAGGGGACTTACATATATCTCTGATTTGTGCCTAGAGAAATGTTTAAGGCTAGGCCTAATGATGAATATTAAATTGCAAATATAAAATTTTCCATTCATATTTTTTAAATTGATGGATAACTAATAAATAAGTACTTCGGAGACACTAATTTGATTGCATTGTCAAACTGACTAGTCGGGAGCAAGAGAATACCTGTCAACTGAAAAATCTGAGCACATAAATATTTTCAAATAAGAGCATCTTCCTCCCTCCTCAACATACTCTGCCTACATCTGCTACATCCTAGAAGATGTAGAAGATAAAGATAATTAACTATAGATTAGTTTTGCCTATTCTAGAATTTCATATAAACGGAATCATGAGGTATGTTCTCTTTTGTGCCTAGACTTTTTTCATTCAGAATGTTTGAGATTCACCCATGTTGTTGTGTTTATCAGTAGTTTTTTTTTTAATTGATGAGTAGTATTCTATTGTATGAATATAGTTGTTAAATCACATCCATTTGCTGCCAAAAATATTACTACTATATTTTTATTCCTCTTCTTTTGCTGCCTACTATGGTGGGCTGCCGTCTATGGGGTCACACGGAGTCGGACATGACTGAAGTGACTTAGCAGCAGCAGCAGCATGGTCATATTGCAGCAACAGTCCATCGCTGTCAAAATTAGAATTCACATCAGGTAATAATTCATATCAGGTCCACATGCACTATTTTCATCAGTTTTAAAAAGCAAAGAAGTCCCCAAAACAGGTTCTAACTTTTTTTCTTAATGCTTTAACCACTGATGATAACAATCTTTTGTTTTTATTTTGCTTAGGTCTTTGAGGAATCAAACATTTTTTTTAACTTACTATGACGTGCTTATGAAACAGGAAGAGGGCAGGGGTTGATGGCAATTTCTAATAAGGATACTATAAGTGGCTGAGATGTAATATATTCCTTCTATAATAAATGGTTCTTCTCAAATGAATTGACTCCATTTAAAAAATCCACTTCAATATTTTGCTACTAGTTTTTACTTTATAAAAACCAAAAAGCACTTTATGGTGATTAAAAAAAAGTCTATATTATTATCATCTAATTTTTTATTCCCTTTATATATTTATTTAGAATAAATACAAGCAAGAATTAAAGAGTGATATTAATTATATTCTCTTTTAGTCAGCAGATGCCCATTACGCACTCCAGAGCATTCATTAAAAGTCCAACTGCTTTTTTAAATGAAAAGGAAGCAGACAACTAAATATGAAAACTTCTCACAAAGTTATCTCCTGTGCTCAGATAGTACCAACCACTTTATTCTTCATTGAGTGTGGAGCTGATGGAATTGAGCCACAATGACATTTGTGACTAGAGGGGAAGATGGAAATGATTCCATTAACCTAGAGTGCTGTAACATATGGTAATCATAGGTGGTAGAATAGCTGGGTTGGACAAGGGTAAAGTAAGCCATGTGGCACAGACATTATCAATTACCACACATGGTAACCATGCTGATACAATGTAGCTTTTCCAGAAGGGAAATGATTTGGGCATATGAATTGACTTACTGGCTTATGAAAGAGTGATCTATAAATGACATATCTGGCACCAATATAGCACACGTGGTTTCCAGTAATTTTGCAAGTTGGGGACTATTAAGATTTGAAGAACCTCCATATACCTAAATGTCAGTACAATGTATTGCAGTTATTTGCACAAAGGCAGCAAGCCAAAATATCGATGCAAAATAAACTTGGACCATTCATATAAAACTATCAAATATCTTTTTCAGGTGTCATATAAAATCCTGGAATTTTGTATCTCTGGAAAAAATAATTTCATGAATCTTTAAGGTATAAAGCTTACAGGCATGGCAAAAGTTCAAGATTAGATCTAAACTGTACTGGGAGATGGAATTACAATTACTTGTAAGTATTGGCAAAAATATTGATTTTGAAAGAAACATGATGAAAACTGTATTTTAAGAAAATTTAATATACAAATACTCTTTCAGAAGGAACACTGAAGGCTGAAAGATCAGTTGGGCAGTGGGAGATAATGAGTACAGAAAAGAAGAGTGTCAGTGGAAATGAAGATGAACAGAAGAAACTAAAAGACACTCTATAGGAAGATCGGAAATTCTAACAGGACACCTGATGATACAACTTCAGAAGACCAGTAAACCACCCACAGAGGCTCACAAGTAACTATTGTGGCTATCTATTGCTGCAAAACAAATTACTGCCAAACTTAGCGGCTAAGACAAAAACCATCTTAAAAAGGGTCTACTGTATAGCAAGGGAACTCTACTCAACACTCTGTAATGGTCTCTATGGGAAAAGAATCTAAAAAAGAGTGGATACATGTATATGTATTACTGATTCACTTTGCTATATACCTGAAACTAATACATTGTAAATCAACTATATTCCAATTAAAAAAAAAAAAANGGCTTGCAGGAGCTAGGCTACATTTATCTTTGTCTGCACCAAACTCCCAAACTGGCTCCCTAACTGCCCACCATCAACACTGAACAAAACAACTGGTGGGCTACTGGCAGCCCACTACTGAATCTCACAGAAAGACCCATTTGTCTACCTGTGAAATGATCACCCAAAAATAGCCTGTATCTCAGAGTCACACTACTGAGCTTCAAGTATTTTTATCTCTTCCTAGTATCAAAACAGCTCTTTTCTTTTACTGTGTTGAATTCAGCACTCTGCCATCAGCAGTGCTTTGTTAAGACCCCCAAAGCTCTTACAGCAAACCAGCAGGACGGCAGTAGGGGCTTTGAACCTGAATGCTCACCTCCAGCCTTCAGCCACACCCTATTATTCCTTGGACATAACCTCCTCAGGAAGCCTTCTCTGATCACCTCTATCCCACCACAACCTTCAGGCTGGGTGAGGTTCCCTCATTTTGTTTTCTGTCTTCATGGTGATCACTTTGTGTTCCCAATGTCTGTTTTCTTATCTCTTCCTCACTCCAATAAGACCAGCAGTTAAGGAGCAATTAACCTCTGTATTCCCAGGACTCAGTGTAGAATCAGGCCAAGAGCAAATGGTTATGAACATAGTCTAGTTCAAAGAACAGGGCTTATGGGATCAATCAATCCTAGGTTCACATTTTGGCCCAAATACTTGGAGTTTCTGGGACCCAGTTTCCTCACTTACCGAATGAGAATAAGACTTGCAATGAGTTGGTGAAAATTAGTATAGCATGAAGACCTAAGTGGACTGGCCACACAATGGACCACCATTAAAATAAAGGGACTTCTTTTGTGAATTGATGGGGAGATATCTGTAATATATGTTGAATGGAAAAATGATGTGGCAAATTGTATGTTCAAGAGACTAACATTTGTCTAAAAAACAGAACAAGGAATATATAGATATTTGTCTGTAAACCTACCCCAGGAAATGAGATACAAGAAATTAACTGGTTGCCTCTGGGGGGAGGCCTGAACTAGGGGACTGGAGGAAACTTTAATGTATATCCTTTTGTACCCTTTGGATTTTGAGTGTTTTATCTATAGATAAAGTAAACATATGTATGTAGCCTGAAAGTTTCTTAACACATAGAAAGCAATGATAAATAAATGGGCTATTTGATACATAAGACTAGGCCAGTGGTTCTCCAAGTGTGGCCCCCAGAGGAGCAACATCAGCACTGACTAGGAACCAGTTAGAAACACAAATTCTCAGCCCTCACCAACAGCCAACCTACTCAATTAGAAACTCTGGGGGTAGGTCCCAGAATCCTGTGTTTTAATAAACCTCCAAGTCACTTCTAAAATAAGCTACTGAAGTTTGAGGACCACTCTGCTAGCAGGTGATCCTCCTAACCCATCCCTGCCCCTTAATCCTGGCAGAGGGTTAGATACATGGAGATGCTCATTTAGGAGCCCTTAATTAAGGCCTCAGGTAGTTCTTTTTTGGAGCACAGGAGGGTGGTCAGGTCCTCCCACCTGCACGCTTCTGGATCTTCTTCTTATTCTTCAGGGCAGATGCCAGAGCCTGGCCCTGCTGCAGGGGGTCTGTCTCCATGATCCTCTGTGGCACTGGGCGGCGGTCCACTGAGCAAACATCCACCATGCTATTGTTCCTAGGCTGAAGGTCCACATTGCGCTTAGCCCATCCCATCTGATGACAGTTTGGATTGGTGCAATACCCAGTAAGATCTCCAATCTTATACACGGTGGTTTTATTTTCCATGGCATCTGCTATTTTCACCATCGGAGAATGGAGCCACTTGATCTCCATTTCGAGCAGGTCCATGTCACCCAACAGCTCATCCGATTCTCCAGTGGCCAAGCATTCCATGGTGTCTTCATTGGCTTGCTCGGTATCCTCAATGTCAAAGACCTCAGTCATCTCCTTAACGATCTCAGCACTGAGATGGGTAGGCAGAGTGTGGGTAGAGGGTGGGAGTGTATAGAAGCTGATCTTCCCGCTGCATTGGGAGGTGGGAAGAAATTGACGTTATTAAGACAACAAATGACAAATGAGGACTTTGCTGGTGGTCCAGTGGTTAAGAATCCACCTTCCAATGCAGGGGACAGGGGTGTGATCCCTGGTCAGGGAGCCAAGATCCCATGCAAATGAGCTTGTGTGCCTCAACTAGAGAACCCACGTGCTGCAAACTAGAGTCAATGTGCTCTGGAGCCTGCATATGCCACAACTAGAGAGAAGCCTATGCTGCAAGGAAAGATCCCACAGGCCACAACTAAGACCTGATGCAGACAAAATAAATAAATATTTTAAAAAATAAAATGAACTTGGAAGCTCAGAAATTTGAGTGTTCTACAACTCAAGTGTCCATCAGCAGATTATCGGATGAAGAAGTTGTGATATATATATATATATATACACATGTGTATGTATTTATACACACACACACATACATACATACAATAAAATATTATTCAGCCACACACAAAAAAAATGAGGAAATCCTGGGAACTTCCCTGTGGTCCAGTGGTTAGGACTCTGAGGTAGGGGACAGGTTGAGGAAATCCTGCCATTTGCAACAGTACTGATGGGCCTTGGGAGCATTACGCTAAGTGAAATATGTCACGCAGAGAAACACACTGTATGATCTCTCTCTAGAGAATTTAAAACAAAGTCATAGAAAATGAGATCAGATTTGTGGTTACCAGAGGCAGAGTGTTGGGAGAGGGGCAATTAGAGAAAGGTGGTTGAAAGGTACAGACTTCCAGTTACAAGATAAATAAGTATCAGGGAGATAATGTACAGCACATAGTTAACACTGCTATACAATGTACATGAAATTCAAGAGAGTAAATCCTAACAGTTCTCATCCCAAGGAAAAGTTTTTTCTTTTTTCTTTGTTTTAATTGTATCTATGTGAAATGATGGATGCGAACTAAACTTACTGCAGTAAGTTTACAATATAATGTAAGTCAAGCCATTATGCTGTATACCTTAAGTTTATACATTGATGTATGTCAATTATATCAATAAAACTGGGACTCTTTTATTTCTTTTATTCCTACTTTCATTCCTCAGTAAAAGAGGTGAAGGGACATCGTTGGTGGTCCAGTGGCTAACACTCCACACTCCCAATGCAAGGGGCCTGGTTTCAATCAGTGGTCAGGGAACTAGATCCCAATGCTGCAATTAAGAGTTCATGTGCTAAAAAAAAAAAAAGAGTTCACGTGCTGAAACTAAAGATCCTACATGCCACGACGAAGACCGAAGATCCTGGGTGCCCTAAGTAAGACCCAGCATGGCCAAATAAATATATAAATTTGTTTTAATCTGGGGAAAAAAAAGAAATTTGAGTGTTCAAAATTACTGTGGAAGTATATGAACTGACACTAACATATCTCAGAAGAAAATGATGTGTAAAAATCACAATGACAATATAGGAATTTACAGTGAGAACTATTACTTCCATTGAGACCAGACAATTCTATCCATCTGGCTATAACCAAAGTATTAATAATTGGGAAATCAAACTACCAACAGGCTGATAACTGATGTGTATGGAATCACAGTTCATTATGATTCAAATATCTAAAGCATCAAACTGAGAGAGCCTGATGCAACCATTTCTACAATTAGGATTAGTTATTAGGACCAATCTCAGTAGGACCCTCATTCCCATGAACAGGGCTTGAGTGGTTAAATCAAAGTTAGCGCCATTTTGATCCTCCTTTTTCTACCATACTGTATAGGATGTTGACACTTCTGATTGACATACTTAAAGATATGGCCCCAGGCCATATTTTCTCAGGTTAGAGTTTCTAACCTAAGCATTATTGATATTTTCAGTTCAGTCGCTCAGTCGTGTCCGACTCTTTGCAACCCCATGGACTGCAGCATGCCAGGCTTCCCTGTCCATTCTGTGTTATTGGGGGCTGTAAGGTACATTTTAGGATGTTTAACCACATACCTGATCCTTATTCACTAGAAGCCGGTGGCACCTGTTCTTAGCGTTGAGATGAGCAAAATATCTTCACAATGTTAAATGTCCCTTGGGAGGCAAAATCATCCCAAGTAGAGAACCACTTCATTCATATAAGAGCAAAGATTGGAGTTAGACTTACTTTGACTTTCTGATAGGCTGTTTCCTAATCATAAGACTTTGAGCCAGTCATAAGTTACAATGTACCTCCCTTGTTTTTGGTTGCCCAGCAGCTATATCCCTTTCCTACCAGCATCTCCATCTCTTTTAGGCAATCACCTCTCTCCCACTGCAGGCAGTTTTGGTAAGCCTTCAGGCCTCCTCTTGCGGAAGCCAAAGATAATTGTACTGACTTTTTTTCCCAGATGCTATCACATCGTGGGGTCAGACTCAGACCTAGTTAGGTCAACAAAATACTCTCTCCCCTGACTTTGAATCTTGACTGAGAAATAAGACTAGAGAAGGGTGATAGTTCATTCATCTCTGCGGGCTCCTACAGTGAGACTCTCCCTGCTGTCTGGGGCTCTGGAACTAACTAGGTTTTACATTCCCAAGTGGGCTTATTCTGTCTTCTTACTGTTTCTGTAACATTAATTAATATTAGGGACTAAATAACAACTATTAGTAAGAGATCTTGAAGATTACATAGTTTAATTCTGAGAGCAAACTTATATCTCTAATCTCCAAGTTCTTAGAGAACAACTTGCTGACACTTGAGCATACCACTTAGGGAATTAATAATTTGGCAACTGACTAGATATGTAGTCATTATGAGTTAGTCTTTGAGAAAGGTTCTGACATTAAGAGAAATGAAGCAGAAAAAGAAGACCAATTTAGGGGGAAATGGGTTTGGTTTTATATGTGTCAAATATTTGATAG